CTCTTCATCCTCATCAAACTCCGGAAGCACTTCGTCTCGTGCTGCGAGAAATGCGTCAGTAATATCCGCAAGCTCACTGTTGGCTTGAATCTGGTTCGGCTGAGGTACAGCTACTGTTGTTAAACCGCGACGCGTCCTTTTTGCGACCGGATTCTGTAACTCAGCCATTTCTTTCTTCTTCAACTCAGCCGCCTTATTTTCGTCAGCCTTCCGTTGCTTTGTCTCAGCCGCTTTTTTCTCCTTTTTACAGCCGCCTCCTTCTTCTTTAACGCAGCCTCTTCTTCCCTACTTACAGCCGTTAAGTTATTCTTAGGAGACACATCCTTCTTTCCTAACTCAGCCGCCTCTCTGTCCTTCTCTTTAACCTCATTTCCTTTTTGTTTAAACCTTATTATCTTGTGCCCGCGTCCTAAGGCTGGGTCCTTTGCAGGATAAATACCAACGAAATCAACAGTGTCTCCCAAATTCTTAGCAGGTGTGCTATGGACAGAGGCCTTAGCAGGTGTGCTATGGACAGAGGCCTTAGGAGGTGGACTATGGACAGAGGCCTTAGCAGGTGGACTATTGACTGACTGCTGCGGACAAAAGCTCGGCGGTGGCGGCGGTGGCGGCGGTGGTGCTGGCAACGTTAAAGATTGTTGGGGAACTTTAGAAAAGTACTCGTCCACTGCAACTCTGACTAAATCAGGAATGTTCGTATAACTGGACTCCATTCTGCATAACCGCTCGTTGAAGTTTTCGAAGTTGGTCTCGTGGCTGTCTATTTTTGAGTCAATTCTATCCAGAGTATACAACATTTTCAACAGTATCGGATTTTGGCTAATATCATCCTTACCTTCCTTCTCGGAAGCACCCTTTCCCTCCACATCAGCTTCATCCTCTTGGAAGCTGCTCACTTTCTTCTGCTTCTTAATGGGTGGCTCAGCCTTTGACGAAACACCAAAAACCTTTGCGTTTGTTTGTTTGCGTTTCATCTGTGTTCCCCAAAAACCTCTAACAAACCGACCTGCATATATGTCTGTTATCAAGTTAACGAGTTGCGGGTC